TCCTGCGGTCCAGATGCAAATACTCTGTAATCCACTGTTGCAAGATAGAAGTGTATCACTTTAAAAACGATCCAGCCACTCATAGTATTTTTAATTCCAACAGCTTGATCACATAATGCATACCTTGATTTTCTCTGAAATTTCTGCATAGTACTTGACATAAACATCATCAATTTTATATGTATGATAACGTGAGCGGTACTCGTCGTGATAGCGGTACAGGTTCCGACCGCTATAAGGCAGCTACAAAAAAAAGAACAAGAATTAGATGAAACGTCAGAAAAGAAACAAAAGTCCCACAATGGCTACATTGAAGTGAGATGACATACTTTTGTCTACAGAAGTAACTGACTAAGGATCCACATTTTTTCCTAGTAAAGTCAGGCTTGCTAGAAATAGTACCATATATAATCAAGTGATCTTTAACAAGTCAATCCACTGAGACACCGTCATGATATAACTCAGAAGCAATTCAAACGTCAACTAATGTCAGCAGCCAAAGTTACAAGCACGAAATCAAAGAGATAAGAAGTTTGAAGATAGCAATGTTTGTGAAAACACACAAGGTAATAGAAATCATGCTATTTTTATTATCTAATACCGAACCTCAGCTTTAAAACCAAGGCAATCAAGGAGGTTCAAGAACCAAGTGGGATACACTTCCTAGCACTTCACTCCGAGTTAAGGTTACATATGAAATGGCTAAGAAACAACCAATTTTAAGGGGTCACTCATTAAAATCACACCTAGACTTGTCCGAAGTTTGAATGAACACAAAAAACTGGCAAACCTTTTCAAATCCAACATCGCAAGTACTATCATCCATGTTAAGAATAAGCTGTTCGAAAACAGTTTCAACTCGTACCACAAACCCATGGCTCAATTTTTTATACTAACGTTGCAGCTGTGGTTGGGGTCGATGAAGCAAAATGAACTACCTCATTGATTGCTGATTTTTGCGGTGTGTGTTGAAATGGTTTCTGAACACCTATGATTATGATAACCAAGGTAGTCAACTGGATGACTAGATGTTGATATAGACAGTACACTTACAAAATTACGAGGGGCAATCCGTTGGTAGTCATTCAATCCAGCTTTATAGGTGTCATCAGGATGTACGAACCACTCAAAACTTTCATCCTCCTCTAACCGCTTAAAGTACAACTCCTCACCAAGTTCATCATCAGTGTATTCTTCTGGTTCCTTAAGCTCAAGTTCACGTGCGCACTCCGGCTTCAAAGCCTACACACAGATGATAAAAACATGAGATAAAATCATCCACACATATCAAAGCAGAGGGCTGGATTTGCTACTATGGCACACAAGTACAAATTTTAAGACATACGTGAATTGAAGTGAGCGGTGACTGATTGATACAGCATGTAGGTACCTTGTAATAAGCGATGCGAAGGTGTGCAAGGCGCGCTTCTATCTTGTCTTCTTCCTCCCATGTAATATAAAGTGGCAGGTCAGTACAAGGAAGAGGAATGTTGGAACGCAAACGTTGGGCAAAACGGGTTTCGTCCTCCTCGCTGATGAGGAAGTCTGGCCCGAAGCAATCCTGGCTTGTTTCTTGTGCTGAATCTGTTTTGGGCAGCAGCTCCATGTCTGTCGCATGAAGAAAAGGATCTTGACCCCCTAGGATGGTGTCCTCCATGTCCCCATGGTCTTCCTCCCTGATAAGGACGTCCGGCCCGAAGATTTCTTCTTGTGCCGAATCTGTTCTGAGCAGCAGCACCATGTCTGTCGCGTGAGAAATCGGATCT